CTATATAAGCCCTTAACATCCGAGCATCGATGTCATAGTACGTTTTACAAAAGGTCGCTTGCCGGAGATCAATCGCCGAAGTCCAGGATTCGGGTAGAGGAAAGAGTTTAGGGTTTAGGGGTTTAGGGTTTAGGGTTTTGGGGGGTTTAAGGTTCAGGGGTTTAGGGTTTAAGGTTTAGGGTTTTAGGGGTTTAGGGGTTTAGGCTTAGGGTTTTAGGGTTTCGGGGTTTAGGGTTGGGGGGAAGGCTTTAGGGGTTCAGGGTTAGGGTTTAGGGTTACTATCCGGTTTGGGTTACTACCCCCACACTGCAGGATTCCTTTGCCATGGTCTTTGTCATAGTTGGGCAAAAGCGTAGATTTTCATGGGTGTGTAAACCTCAGCAAGGAATATTATGTAATGGTATCCCAGACGTGTACTAGTGGTAACCGCTCAAAGGAGCAAACGCGTGTCTAGGTTGAGGTCGAGCTTGGTAACTTAGAAGGACCCGGGCTCCTTGTTGTTTTTTTGTTGTTGGATCCACTTTGGGGTAGGTTGAAATTGAGACAGTTCCCTTTCTGTAGATACTGTACCGAAAACTTCCCGAAACCCATCCTTTTTACGCGTTTTCGAGTTTCAAGATGCAGGACCTGGGGCTCCTTCTAGGGTTTATAGGGTTTAGAGCTTACCGGACCCTTGCAGAACGATCCTGATGGGGTTGTGGTGGCATGATTTTCGTAGGTCGGCAAAACACCGGAACTAGGTACCCACTGTGCCCACAGATGTACCTTGCTTACCGTTTAGAATCCAGCACCGTACCTCTATACATACATACATACATACATACATACATACATACATACATACATACATACCATCCATCCATCCATGCATGCATGCATGCATGCATACATATATATATATATATATATTTTGTTTTTTCTATTTCTTCTGGGGCGGGCTGACGAAAGCAACACCGGAACCAGGTTGTGAGGTTTTGTTCAATGCTTTATGCTTTGGGGGTTTCGGGTAGGCACTCGATTTCAGGACTGAGGCTTCGAGCACTCGGAGGTGGACTTGCCCAGCCTTAAAATCCCCGAAGCCCTAACCCTAAACCCTAAACCCAGAACCTTCAGAATGCTGGGGATGTCAGCTGGGGGCTTAAGTTTCGACTGCGTCAGGCTTTGCAAGTGTTTAGGGTTTAGGGGTCTAGGGTTTATGGTTTAATTTTAACAGTCTAAGACTTACCTCTAGTTAACTCCATACCTTGCAACATAGGAAGCTATGGAAGGTAGCATTGTTTGGCTATAGCCCTGAAAAGGCAGTGGGCTATTAGATCCCCGTGGGCCAAACTGAAGAGCACACCCCCTACACCAGCAACTGCCTTCCTAAACCCAAAACCCTAAACCCTCAACCCTCAACCCGAGCCTTCTGACTTTCCCAAAGGTCGGGCTCTTTCCAGCGCCTTCCGATCTCTCATAGAACAGGTGGGCATCGGCCATAAACCCTGAACCCTACTACACCAAACCCCAAACTCGAAACCCCAAATCCTAAAGCCTAAAACCTTAAACCCTAAACCCTAAGCCCCAGATCCTAAACCCTGAACCGCTCCGTGAGGTTTTCATGGTCTAAGCTTCCGGGTTCTTCCTGGGGGGGGTTCAGAAGGTTTAGGGCTTAGGGCTTAGGGGTTTAGGGGTTTAGGGTTTAGGGGTTTAGGGTTTAGGGTTTAGGGGTTTAGGGTTTAGGGCTTAGGGGTTTAGGGTTTAGGGTTCAGAAGTTCTAGCAGTAGCTGATGGTTGTTGGGGGGCGTCTCGGGTGTCAGACCTACTACAGTTGTGCTCAGCTAAAGTGTAGTACTATCCCGGACAGCTCCTGAACATAAGTATGCAGTATAATATACCCCTGAAAAAAACCTATTCTAATGAATAAGTTCATGAAGGACCCTTTTTTTATAAGCAGCGTACTGGAGTTCCCTAAACCATAAACCCTAAACCCTAAACCCTAAGTTTTCAGGGTTTCACAGGATCCGGGCCGGGTTCTAGGGTGTAGGATGTCACTGGGACAGAAGCCACGGTTTAGGGTTTAGGGTATAGCCCAGGGTTTAGGGTTTAGGGTTGCCCAAAGACCATAATATACAAGGCTTTTGGGCTATTTTGAGCCTTCGGGTAAGACTCCAAGTACTCAATACCTAGAGGGTCATACCCGATCCCTTTTTTAGACTATCTAGTTTTATGGTTCGGATCTAGAAAAGTAGGTACGCTACAAAAGGGGTAGGGTATGACCCTCTAGGCATTACAGCGCCCCTAAACCCTAAACCTTGGTAGAGCCAACTTGTTGGGCCTTTTTGGGGTCTGAGAGGAAGACACCAAGCGGCTTAGTTATAGACACCTTTGTCTAGATCCTAACCATACACCGTATAATCCACACATGGGTTGGTCTCTAAATTAGGGTCCCTTGTAGGGTCCTTTTTTAAAATTATAGGGGTGCCGAGATAGAAAGGCCTACTTTAGAGAACTACCCGCATGACATTCCAGGGTTGTCTGCTCAGCTTGAAACTTTTCCTTTTCCGCTCCTCATAACTTGTTCATGAAGGGTTTGCAGCTCATGCGGTTGACAGTAAGGTTTGGGGTCTAGATGCCGGCAAGGGACGTCGTGTTTTTAGACTTTAGTCAAGTTCAGCTGTCTCACGGCTGTACGGTTCAAGGCTTCGGCGGCTGAGCCTCCCGACCACAGCATGAGTGAGCATAGGCTGCTAGCAATCCCAAAGGCTCCACTTAAAGGGGTCCCTATATAGGTACTTTAAGGCCTAAGTAGCTACTATAAAGGTACATGGAGCCTTTGGGAATAGGTCAGCCCAGCGACTTGGACTTTAGGGTTTCGGGTTTCGGCTTCTATAGTCACAGGTAGGCCACAGGCACATTTTACACGTACTTGGGTCGATTTACGAGGATCACCCTTGCGCTATTGTCCGGCTTTCAGGAGCGAGCACAGTAGATCTTACAGCCTCAATCTAACCAATAAACTGCATACATGGGTTGGTTGCCGTGCTTCGAAACCGTCTTTCCCGTAACATACAATGTAGGTAGGTGGGTGCCTCTATAGTAGAAGCCCAAAAGTTGGGAAACCCAACAGCCTCAATCCCAAGAGTAATGTAAAAGGAATCCCAACACTAGTTGTCCTTAATCCGGTTTCCAACTTTTTTGATTCCTTGGGGTTTACTAGAGGATAAACGTGCACAGGTGGTCCAGCAGCACATGATGGAGGTGTAACTCGGACTGGATCCCTGGTAATGTAGGGGCCTATATAATCATCAATACTATTTCTTCGGGGTGCTTCCTTATTATAATTATGGTATATGGGGCCCCAAAACCCTATTCTAATAATTAAGGCCCGTTTATATTAAGTGCAGCCTCACGACCTGAAACCCTCCACGCCAAATCACGTTTCAGCCTGAAGATCTGAAGATGACATCTGAGCAGCCCCTAGGCCCTAGACCCCAAACCTTATAGTAGAAGCCAGGAAGTTGGAACATGATTATCCCCATGCCATGCCTTTGAGGTAGAGTAGAAGGGATCCAAGCAAACATCCACCTGAACCCATGTGCCAACTTTCTGGGATTTGCTGTATAGCCCCTAGACTCAAACCTCAAATCTTAGCCTGTAAAACGCCGGCCTTGAATCTGGGGTCCTTGACACTAGCACTTGCGTACTTACTAACCTGTGAACCACAAATCCCAAAAGCCGAACTCCAAATCCCAAAGGGACGCAGACCCCAGAGCCACCGGGATACCACTTTGTGAACTTTGTTGGGCTTCTTCAATCACTGAAACGGCGCTCGTCACGCTAAGCCCTATCGCCTGAACCCTTGAATGACTTCCCGACCTGTGAAGTCCAATGTAACGTAAGGTCTATATGAGGGATTTGATGGGCATGCGCCTCTATGTGTGTGTGTGTATATATATAATGCTATAATTATAGATTGATTGTAGATGTATGTATGTGTGTATGCATGTTTTCGTGTATGGATGTATGCATGTATGCATGTGTATGTATGTATGTATGTATGTATGTATGTATGTATTTGTTTGTATGTATGTATGTATGTATGTATGTATGTATACATACATACATATGCATGTACATATGTATGTTTTTGCATACGTATGTACTTGCATACGTACGCACGCGCGGTTTAGGGTTTAGGGTTTAGGGATGGATGGATGGATCGATAGATATGGGCTGAGGAGTCAAGTCAAAAGAGCCCATGAGAGTCCTGCGGTACTGTACCCCAAGATCCAAGGTCCAAGATCCTGCTCTGGTTATTGCAAGGCCCGTATCGCACCTGCTCGGTAAGCTCCGACAGGTCTGGCCATGTGCCGACAAGGAGAACAAGCTTGTGGCAATGAAAGTGATCCGACATCAGGACGGGAAGTAAGCCCCTCCCAAGCAAGACTGAGAAGGTTGGGCCTTGCCGTGGACCTGGTAGGTTGTAGTGCTAAACCTTGAGTTGTTTTGGAGACGTGCGCCGTTTTTCGGGCTTGATGGTGTTTGCTGAGCTGCGATTCGAGATCCAGTCGTGTGCGCAGGGTCTTCAACCGGTGCATCGCCCTCGAACTCTGACCTCCTTCTCTCTCTCTCTCTCTCTCTCTCTCTCTCTCTGACTCTCTCTGTAGTCAGCCTAGAGTGCCTCCAGGACCACTTCCGCAAATATGCCACTCGAGAGGTGCACCTTTAGCCAAGTTTAGCCGCGTGATGGGAAGCTTCGCATGATGAGATCAGCCCAGCCATGTTTGCCTTCGCTTTCATTGGGAAAGCAAATGTTGTTCTCCTCGAGATTCACGGTCCGCCGCTAGGGTTGGCAGGGAGTCCTCTGAAGCGAATGGTTTTCGAGGGCTCTTCAATGAAGGAAGGGTGGGGACGCAAAAGCCGCAGCCCTGCCGTCCCCGAAGGGGCCTTTGGAATACCTCTAAACCCGCCACCCTGAGATCCATCATCCGGCACCCCTTCCTTGCAGAGCAAGACAGGTGGAGGTGCTCAAGAGGGCTGCGGAACTGCAGGAGCAGGTGCCAGGGGGCTTTCGGAATTAGGGTATCGCCCTGTATCTTCAACTCCCAAATGCTTGTCCTACGATTATTGCGGTTATGATCTGTACAGTATGCACCAATAAGCAATCGTCTTTCCAGTGCCCGGCACCCCTGATGCTTCGCCCTGGACCCTTTGTTTGTGCCGCGAAGCCCTTGAAACCCTTCAGCCGGTCTGGAGGATCCCGAGGGCGCGGCCCTGGTGTCACTGGTGCGCGACACCTTCGTCCACAAGGAGCGAGGGATAAGGACTTGTATCAGGGGTTGATGACAGGGCTGTGTAGGGTTCTGCAGGGGTTCACGGCTTAAGGGCGCATGGGGTCTATATGGTTTAGGTTGCAGTGATACGGATTGTCGAGCGTGACACCCTCCAGCGCATGATTTCAGCTTGGAGCCCGCAAGCCTTGAGCGAGCTCGCAGAACCCCAAAATCCTGCTTGTTCCCGCATGCATAGCAGCTCAGGCCACAATCCCCAAGTGGTCTGAAGTTGCAGACAGGGCTGGTAGCTGTTGCAGGTTCCCAGCCCTACGGGCGAGCTGGAGTACCTGTGCATGTGCTTTGAGAAGTGCAGGACTTGAAGTTGGCTGGTTTATTGGGGGGCTTCAGGGGCGATGGCTAACAGGGTCAGGTCCATTGCTCAGAATGTTTATGGGCTCGGCTCGGGAATGGAAAAGCCTGAGCCTGAGTGCAATTCGACGAAAGTAGCTTTGGGGTAGCTGAAGGTTGGAATCCAACCTGCGCAAGATCGGCAAGCAGCCGTCAAGCACTCAGAAACAACCCGAACGTGCTCCGACCAAAGCAAACCTTACTCCCTCAAGCTCTCAAGCAGACTCGTCCCCCAATGGACGAAGCACTCCGGCAGTAAGCATGCGCAGATCCTGACCCAATCCTCCTGGGAGCTTCAGAACCAGAGCCTCTGACCTAGTCCATGCACCCAAAACAATCAAACCTTATACGGCCCTCCAGAAGTGCAATTGTGGAAGGTTCGTGTGTGAATGAGTCTTAGCGATGCAAACAGGAAGTTTGATGCAAGCGCACTTTTCGCAGGCAGACATGTAGCACTGCGCAGTGCCATCCAATGTGAAGATGGTGTCCGCCGTTGCACGAAGTCATTTGCGATTATCGGGCAAGCAGGAGTCGCAGGCCAACAAAGACCCCCGCGCAGTGCGGGTGAAAAGCAGTATGCGAAGAAGTTCTGATGGGCACGCTGCAAAACGGCGGTGCGTTGCTGACACATGCAGGATGACGGCCCGGTAGCCCCCAGCCACGGGTCTCAGGATAGTTGAACGACTGAGCTTGAATTATGTGGATAAGGAAACCATGGTCACTGATTGAGGTAACCAGAATTGGGAGACCTGGGTCTCATGCAATGAAAGATGATAAACCACGGAAGGAAGCAATGAACGTTCATTGATTACGGTTAAACAGCCAGGGGGAGTGGGAAGCATGTTATTGCCTCTAGGAAGCCCTCGAAGGCTTGCTTAGATAAGGTAAAACGCAGGCAATTAGCTCTACACATTTATGTTTCGGTGTTTACGGTTTTGGTGTAGGGCTGAATTGGGGTATCGTTATCGTCGTACCTCCAAGTCTAGAAACCCCACTGTGTACCATGTGGGTACTTCGGACCGCTTTGGTGCCAGGATGAATAAGGCTTCCCAGTCGGGGGACTTGACTTCCCGTGAACCTGCGAGCATCGAAATTAGGGATGGTTCAGGATTCAAACATCCAGGGCGGACAAAGCCATGTAGAAGCCTGAACAGTTTGGTCATATCATGGCTTAGGGTCCCCGAATAAATCTAAGTCACACTGGGGCAATCTTTGCCTCCCACCCCCCCCCCCCAAGACCTCTGGAAAAGAGAAGGCGAAATGCACAGCGCCCATCGATCAAGCGACTCTCAGGCTCGAGAAAGTGCTCCACTTCGGGAAGCAGATCATGCGCTCCTTGAGGTCCGACCGAAAGGGTTTAGGCATAACGAAGGGACTGAACAAGCTCTCTCCTTGAAGGGCTCTATGCCAGGATTCAATGGGCATGTTATGTGATTCTGGTGGTCATAGTATGGGGGGGGAGTTGTATGTCAGCGTTAACAACACGACGATTCATCTGCAGACTCGTGTTGCAAGGATTTTCCGTTGAGGCCCGGCCTCCAAGCAGAGAGTGAAGACACTTTCCAGATGGCCCATCTCCCATACTGACTTTCTCCCTAAGCCTTATAGGCTTATAGGCCCTCAACACCTTGAGACCCCGAAGGCCTAAACTGTATATACCGTAAAGTTTTGCCGACGGAGCTTTGGCAGGATTGGGGAACTCGACGCCGAGCAAAGCCTTAGTGTGGCTCGAGGCTTTGCAGACCAAAGATTTTTTGAGCTTTGAACCTCAATTTCCTTGAATCTGGATTCTCTAAGGATTCGGTAAGAGGGTCTATGTCAAGGGAAAGGAATGGACACATGGAGTCAGAACTTAAACTTTTCGTGCGTCCCTACCTTAGCTTAGCTGAGTTATACAACCTGCAGACAGGGGCGAGAAAGCCAAAGCCAGACCCCGTCTCCATGTCCCTAAGTACCCGTATGGAACCTAGCACTACTTTGCGCTACGCCACTGTGGGGGTCCCAAGCTAATAGTCTACGTGCTTGTGAGACGCTTGGGGGATCTCCATCTCCGCTTTTTTCTCCCCACTGCGCCATGGCCGACACGTTGAACGTGCGAGCGATGTCAGGCCTGGGGGGAGTGTACCAGTTGTTCGGAGGGGTGCGCGACATGTCTGCGTTTTGCAGGTGCCTTATCTAGAGGCCTGATTCTGAATAGTATTCCCGTCAGCTCTGTAAAGTCAGGCTACGATACAGCCTGAAGCCTTATTCTCGTTATCAAGGCCTCTGTATCCGAGGCTTGCCTTGCACCTTCTCACTCGGAGGTGTCCGGGCTCAATCATCAGACCCTCGACATAGAGTTTCCTAAAAGCTTGTAATACACAGTTACACAAACCATTTCATATAAAACCCAAAACTTCTATAGACACCCTAATTATTGGGGATTATATACTGTGTTGGTGCTGAGGACTGTTTGGGTGCAGACCGTTGACGGGATTCCCCAGCCTCGGTAATCGAGCTTAGCTAACAAGTTCGCCCCGGACTTACACTCGAACTCGAGGTCGGGGATTTGACAGCTCCAACCTCTTGAAATCCCGAGCCTTAGGCTAGAAGCCATGCACACACAAGAGCTACCACTTTTTGCCTCCACAGGCGACCTTGTGCTGGCACTCACCGCAGAAGAACTGCAGGTCTGGGCCAGTGCGGAGGCGCGACAAGGAATTGGGGCTCCACGAGATTCTGCAAAAGTGAGGTTCGCATTAGCCCGACAGGCCCGACACCCTGAATCCCGTCATCTCTCCCGGAGCAGCCTCGAGCTGGAGCCCGTGTAAGCCCTGTCCACCCCAGGTCTCAAACCCAATCCCTCAACCCTAAGCCGACTGGATCCTACAAGCCAAACCCGCCTGAACCCAGGCCCTCCTGAACACGATAAATTATCTAGAGTTTGTATAAGCCCTTCTACCCCCTGGCTCTGCTCAGGGTCTCAAGGGCGTGACTGTGCTGATGCTCAAGCTGCGCCTACAAGGCCTGGGAGAAGCTCACAGTCACACGAAAGCCGATTCGTTTTTCCACAGAAGCTGGAGTGTTAGGGGTAAGGGTGAGGGTTAGGGTTTGAAAACGAAGCTGTCAGCTCTTCAATCTGAAACGGGAAACTTGGGCCGGTGGGATTTTGGCTTCAGGGCCTTCCTCTTTGGGAGCTTTGCTAGCCCAAGGAGCTTAGATTCCTTGTAGGTGGAAGCTCTGCTACAGAGGAGCGCCCAGGAAATCCCACGCTTTTTTGGATGCTCGCTGCTAGCTTAGCAACCCAGATGGTTGCAGAGCTCAAGGCCCAAACCCACATAAAACCCTGGCTGTCATGCACTGTCTATAGAGCCTATTGAAAACAAGGTAAGGGTACGACCGATGGGTATGACTACCATGCCCTGCAGAGCCTAAGCCCCAAACCCCAAACCGCCCTAAACCCTGCCTTGACACGCTTGGGTCTTCTTCGCCAGGCATCTGCGGACTTTCGAGATTCCGACAGAGGTGCCGGCTCCGGAAGTCGAACTCTGTTGCCTTCGGATAACATGCATAGCTCTCGAGCTTTTATCTCGGAACTCCTCTGTCCTAGGGGGAAATCAATGTCAAAATCTTGAGCTTCCATCAGCAGAGCATTGGAGCCGTCGGGTCCCAGGATCCTGGCGCGCAGCGCAGTGCTGCACGACGTCATCCATGTGCAGGCTCCCTTCATGTGTTTCGAAAGTGAAAGATCGAAATCTTTTTTCACATAGATAGTGCACAGCAGGGTTTCTAGAATTTGGAGCTGCGATTCTCAGAGTTCTTGCAGGTCTCCCCCGATCCTTCTCTCTGCTCGTGTCCACGCAGTCACCACGTGCATCCTAGGTAGTTATATGGGTGGAACATTTATGAGTGCCTTACACAAGCCATACTCAACATAGTACCCCCCAGCCACCCCAGAGCTCCAACACCCTAAACCCTGAGAGCGCGAATTTCCCTAGCTGGTACTATGCGTGTATTGCGCTCCCTTTTGCGTCAAGGCGCCCGGAGAGCTGCAGCTGGCACGCCTCCCTTTTGCAGAGGCCTAGAATATTCGGAGTTGGGAGTCTTTTTTGATTTAAAGTGGTCCTGCAGAGCCAAGAGCTCTCTAAAGAAGGGAGTCTTCCTAAGTTTGTATAGGGTTTCTTGCCAAGGCATGGCCCAAGTCTCCAAGTCGCACAGGGTACCATTACGAGTTAAGGGCGATTCCTGAATTCAGAATTTAATGTGGAGTGGCACTCTCCTGCTTCAATGTTGGCACCAGAAGAACTGCCCCCTCCTAGAAACGGCTGTGATTTGCCGCACTTCAGGGCCCTCCGTTTAGCATCCCATGGAAGTTTCAGAAACCTATAGAGTCCTTCAACTCCCTGGTTGGGGCTTCCTTAGCACCCGACAAAATCCCTACAAGACCCAGCAAAGCACGTACACAACGCTATAACACCAGATCATGGGAGCTTAGATTTTGCATCATGTCAGGTCCTTCGTAACCCATAAATCCTGTTGAACCCGTTCCTTAACAGGAATCCAACCGAGGGTCTAAAGTTCGAGGCCTCCAAGACAGAGATCGCTGCGCTCCTCCTGGCGTGCCATGAAGAGGACGCTAGGATGTTCGTGAGGATAGAAAGATAGATAGTTTAGATATATGTGCATGTGTGTGTGTGTATATACATATATATGTAGATAGATAGAGAGGGTTTCTGCTTCGCAGTATGGAAACTGGGGTTAAGGGGCTAGGGTTTATGGCTCAGGGTTCTGCGGTTTATAGGTTCATAGCTGCAAGTTTCCTGGCAATTGCTTAACTGCCCAGGACTTCGATCTCGTGGACGAAATCCTCCACAGGCATCCATGGGAGTTGATGATGATGAATGGTGATAATTGAGACATGCTGAACCGCAACGCCAGATTTCGATCCTCGACCCATACTACACAAAAAGCCTCTTCCGACCGGTCAGGTCCGAATGTTAGTATGCCTCCAACTACCGGAACCTCTTATACCAAAAACCGTGATGTAACACAGATTTGAGAGTGGCTCCAAAAAAAAACGTGGTGGTAGTTCAAGGTCGTGGTGTTTCTAGCGTTGACGGTGTAAGGCTTCGTGTAGGGGGGCATCAACCCTGTGCTCCGGCGTGTTTTCACGATGGTAGCTCCGAGACAGATTGGCCAGCAAGCCCGCAAGCTGCCAGGCCTCAAAATCCAGATCTCAGCAACGATGCTCGGAACAAGGTAGCGCTCTGGATGAGGTGACACTTGGGGATAATGTTCAAGTGGTTTTCTGGTCGTATGGAGTTGCCTGTTCTTAGGTAACTTTCGGGGTCCTTAAACCACAACCCAGTGCATCAGGATGCGAGTGACGTCCGAACCCTGATGCGAGTCATAGCTACAGCGTGAGCTTTCTTCGAATCACACTTCATAAGATCCCCAGACGTGCCGGGGGCAAGCCGGGGTTAAGGTGCAGAACCTGATAAAGCTCATGCTCCTGCTGAATCTTAGGCACATGCATGCAGAAGTCGTCAGCATTTCGATGTGCTACCCTTCTTCACGGTCCCATGGTCAGGGTTGAGGTTGCGCATCAACACCACACGTGTATGCCTGTGTTTTGGATCAATAGTAATGTTAGTAATGCATTGCTCATCAACTGATAGTTGCGCGCACGAGTGAGCTTGCATTTCGTCGGCATCTGGGAGGCCGCAGCTCCGTTAGGATTCTGTGAAGCCATTCGCGAAGCAGCCCTGAAATGGGAGAAGACCATGGTAGATTGGAATGGGGCTCGCGTTGCATTGACACTAGAATTCACAGGAAATTTCAGAGGCGAGGTCCGTAGAGGTTGATGTCGTTCAACAGCCGTGGTCGAAGTCGACTGCCCCTTCAGAGGTCCTGATCCTAGAACCCCCCTGGTCTACAAAGCCAACTCGATGCCTTCAACCCTAAGCCCGACTGGAGAAGAGCCCACACCTTGCTGAGGACAGGGGCTTAACGGCATTGGTCGCTGCAACAGAAGTTGGCAATGCAGACATCGCCACCCTCCTGCTGGAGGCAACGCTCCTCTTATGGGTCTCAGATCTAATCCCGTTTTGCTTAGCCCAAACGAGTATGACGAAATGTAGACTTCGGTGAAAGCATGGAACTGATGTGCCGTGTCTGAAGAATTTTGCATGGGGGTTCTAAGTCCTAGGCACCTACATAGTTATTACATGCAAGGGCTTCTACGCTAGGAGTTGCTACTCTGGCCTCTGTCAGTCTGCAAGAAACTCCGGATACTTGGGATGTTTGTGGTTCAGGACAGGACTGGAGGCAGAGGGTCGTCGACATCTGTACGAGACATGCTAGCACCAAGCATCATAACTCCTCGGTGCTTAGGACCCTTTAGGTTTGAAATGGGAGGCCAACGCGGACAAGAACTTGGTGGACAGTTTCGGAGCCACTGCTCTTTCCGTTGCATGCGAAGGACGATTTACACAGGCGAGGCTGCATGGTCAGAGTTTAGGCTTCCGGGTTTAATCCAACGCTGTAATCCTCCGCTCCAACCCCGAAACCCTCTTGTGCCTGCACCCCTGGAGATCGAGCATTCGGGATGTGATGTTTGACCTATTGCTTGAATCCCCCGGACCTTCGGATAAAGTCTGCATCAAGAGTAATTACGGAGAACTTGCTAATGACGCGTTTGGCCAAGGACATCACAACTTAGTCTCGTTTAGTAGGGCTGTTTGGCATTGCCGTATCTACTTTGACTCGGTAGGTGTCCAATGATAGCCCCTTCCCGCGTCTCTCCAGCCAGGGCTGCGATACTCTGAGACAGCATCAATATAGGACTATCGGTTGAAGTGGGCTTATCGGTGCAATTTGTTGTTCTTTAACACCTGCAAAACCCCACAGCCAAGACAAAGCAGCACACTTACCTCTGAGCTTCCGATGTGGCCCGAGTGTTTCAGCATCCAAAGGTCGCGAACGTCTTGATCGAGGCTCGTGCAGATGTCAACAAGGTGCGGCTCCGAACGGCGAGCTGCCGAAGTCTGGCCTAGTAGCAACCGGGATGTTTCCCTGACCATTCCAAGAGCCTAAGCCTAAACTGATCTAAGCCCTGAATCCAGAATCCAGAGGCCAAGCTTCAGGGCGAAGCGCCCTTGCTGACGGCCTGCCGGAATGGTGTGCAAGCCATTGTTGAGATGCTGCTGCGGGCCAGAGCCAACTTGAACCAGGCCGGTGCTGCGAGCTTAGCTTTGATGGTTCAGGGTCGCCAGGCCGGAGCTTCTGCCTTCCATGTCAAACGGGCCTGAATTTGAAGGTGAATGACAACGGTGAGAGCCCGCTCTACCATGCTGCGAAACAAGGCCTGGAGGAGGGCGTGATTTAAGTGCTCGGTTTGAGTTCCGTACTATACTGTACAACACTCGGCTTGCTGCTGCTCACAGCCTCACAGCACGGATGCAGATTTGTCCATCGATTACTCCGAGGTTGTTTCAGGATGAGGGAGTGCTGCAGCAGTTGAGTGTCCCATGACTGCCGCAATCAGCAGACAGGTAGGCTTGAAGATTCTGCCGTTCCGCTGTCAACATCGGAGCAGTTTCATGTTCTCTGCTGAAGCTGCTCCGTCCGAATCTGTGATCATGCTGGAATAAAGGCGAGAGTTGCTTTAACATTGCGTCGGTGCTGCTGAGCGGACCTCACAAAGCAGCTCTAAGCAAGGGGTAATGCGGCAGCATCTGTGTGCCCCGTTCCCGAGTGTCTCACGCTGCCAGGTCAGTGGGGTTGTGCCCGCATTCTATTGGAAGCTGGAGCACAGGCGGATCTTTGCAGCTCCAACGGGAAGCATTCGGGTGGCACGCCGCTCTTTATAGCTGCTCGGATGATCTTCCCAACAATCGTCAAGCTCATGGTTCAGATGCTTTTTTCTGAACCAGAGCTCCTGTTGCAAGCGAGTCACCCCTGCACCGTGAAGTTCGGCGAAAGTCCAACATCCACGACAAGCCAGAGTTGAGAAAGCCTATAAGCCTATAAGCTCTAAACCCCTACCGCCGAACCCTCTTAGCGCTAATTCCTGGCTTTCTCAACCAGCCTCTCAATTGTTTTCAGGCTTCTTCCATCGGCTCGCTTCAGATCGTGGACTTACTCCTGCGTTTCCGAGCGGACACAGAGAAGGCCACCGACGCAGGAAGCACTCCGCTAGGACAGCCGCGGGGATCCTTGCAGGCTGCTGAGAGGGTCTATGTCCTGTAGCTTTGTAGGCATGCCATAGGGACTAGAATTCGAGTCTTGAGCTTTAGGTCACTGGGTTTCTGGCATAATCGGGATTTAGGGTGTTAGGATTTTAGGGTCGTCGAGGGTTGGCACTCGCGGTCGGATTACAACTGGTTCCAGACATAGGGATTGGGGAGCCCAGGGCAGATTTTTCACATCGAGGTTTCATGTGGACTGCTTTCTCGCTGCTGAAGTTTTACGGGTAGAAGCTTTGCCCCAAATTCTGGAGGTTTTCCTCGGAACACTGAACCCTAGAGGATTTTGATTGGGTCCTGAATACGTAGTCATAGTATCCCCTTGTATAGTCTTAAGACCCTGTTCTAATCATTGAGGCCTGTATCTAGGATCTTATTCGTCAAAACGCCATTGAACACCTACCTTATGACGGCCCCTATATGAGCAAGTCAAGGAAGGCATACTTATTAGTCACCCAGGAGTAGCGTTTGACATCAACCGCCTGGATGTGGCACCACGGTTTTGAAGTTACAGGGGGTTGCGATTTTGGGCCCCGGTGTGGGTCTTGGTTTCTTGTTTAGCACCGTGATTTTTGTCTCCGTTTTCTTCCCGGGGCTTTAATGGGGCTTGTCGAGGCTCACCGGGTCAAGTCGGAACTGGTGCTCCACGTAGTAAAGTAGGAAGCAGGGTTTCTTTGCTCCGTAGCAGTTGCCATCAAAATATGCTTTGTGACCGTGTGAGCATCCTCCCTTTAGGTATTTCGATTTTTCGAGACGCTGCCAGATCTTACGCTGGTCAGAAGCTTGAGCCACTGAGGTAAAGCTGCTCTTGGGGGCCGGTGCTGGCAAGAAGATGAGCCGACCAGCCAGCATCGTTCTGGACTTTGCGGCGAGAGCGCGGCCTAAGGACACTCAGAGCTACCCAGAGTGCCCAATACCGGTTAGTGTAGGAATCTTCGAATAAAGCTAGTTCCTGAAGTCTCCACGGCATCTGAGTATCATGACAATTATCTTATAATACTGTCATGTAATGGATTATTCTTAACAGGCGTAGTTGCATTGGGCCCCGTAGCCCCTCCGTCATGTCGACCCTCGAGGCTACAGCACACGTCATGCTAGGCGGAGCTTGGCCACTCGTGCTTTCGGAGCCCTTATACACCGTACATTAAACCCCCCGCTCAACAAAAAAAAGCTCAACCAAGCCCACACAACAGACACTTTCCAGGATCGTCTGCTTTGTGCTGCAGCTCGGGTGGGAGACCTTGAGGTGACTGTCGAAGCCCTCTTTTTCGGGGCTTTGGGTGTACTGAGGGAGTTTCCGGGTCTGGGATTACTATGCGCTCGAGAGCCCTTACGGCCTGCATTGTGGGTGTTTGGGGGAGAACAGAGGACAGGTGGGGGTTAAGGTTGCTGCATTTGGGGGGTTTAGGTTGCTGGGTTTATCGCTCTCGCTTTGGACCAAAAGCATTTAAAGAACATACGGGACAGTCATGCCCCTCAAACGTGACTAAAGCATATAAAGGTCCAAGGTATAAAGGTATGTATGTATGTATGTATGTATATATATATGAGAGAGAGGCTCCTCTAGGGTCTATTTCACGCCCTATT